ACACACACACACACACACACACACTGAGCTCCATCTCAGCCCTTTTTTTCTTTTTTCTTTTGAGACAAGGTGCTACTTCAGCTAAGCTGGGCTTGCTCTTGTGATCCTTCTGTCTTGTCTCCCCAGGTACTGAGATGACAGGTGTGCACCACAGCCTGGCTGAATCACTTAAATCTTGGCTGTTGTGTTTTGTGGCGCTGGGGATTGAACCCACGGCCTTGTGCATGTGAGGCAAGAGCTCTGCCACTGAGCCACATTCCCAGCCCTCAGCCCCTCAGCTCTTTAAGAGAGCATTATGGCATATTGCCCGTGTGTGTGCGTGTGTGTGTGTGTGTGTGTGTGTGTGTGTTTGTGTCTCAGTGCTAGAGATTGAACCTGCCATCTCTTGCATCTGAGGCAAGTGCTCTACCACTGACATACATTTTGCCAGCTGTTACAGTTTTTAAAAATCATAGGGGCAGTTATATATGCTCATTAAAAAAATTAGAAATATTCACAGAAGAGGAAGCAAAATAATTCTAAAAGTTTCTCAGAAATCTGTGGTTGTGCATCTTATTAGAGTATCTTTTTTTCTTATGAGTGGTTAATATAGTGGAATTAGTTCTTTTGAGTAGTCAGAATAGGAATTGTATGAAATAACCACACATATAAATATTTCTATTTTTCTTTTAAACAGTTTCTTTCCATTAACAGAGGGTAATTTACATACCATTCAAAGTCTCTGTCCATTTTTGTCAAAAGAAGAAAAGAAAGAATTCAGTTCTCAATGTATACCTGCTCTTTTGGGCTGGACTAAGGAAGACCTTTGCAGTACCAATGGTTAGTTGCTCCATAATAAATATTTCACTAATTCAATTGTTTGAGCCAAAAGAAGTATTTCTTAATATGTAAAACCAGTTGTAGCCAAGATGAATGAATTTACAACTTTCTTGTTTCTACTTTGTACTTTGTTACCCAAATTGACAGTTGTTAGGATGAATGTATCTAAATATGTGGCTATTATTTTGTACACAGGAATGCTTCAAGGGAGGATTATACCCACAAAGACCTTTGTTCATTTCTTTTCTTCCTGTAACTTTTTAAAGTCATGCCTCCTTTTCCCAAGTATAAGGGATAGGAGAGCGTTTGCAGAGCATGCAGGTGTTTTGAATTCTGCACCCTGTTCATGTATTTAGTAAGTAAATTATACAAATAATACTTGCTATTTGGTAGATTTTATTATAGAGAAGACAGTTAGCTCATAACTCTTGTAACAAAGCAATGGACTATGATGGAGGGAACTTCCCCTTTGCTTTGAGGCAATATCACAAAGAAAAATGTTTCAGCCTGGTATTGAAGGGTAGTTTTCCATGTAGCCATAGCTGGGAGAGGGCATTCCCAGTACATGAACTCAGACAAGGGTGCAGCCCACTCATTTTGGCTGGCATTCAGCATGAGAAGTTAAGACTGGGTAGTGGGGTGCACTAGAAGACGAATGTTGAGAAATGCAACTCTAAAGGGTGGTCACTCCAAGAGATTACCAGATAGAGTAGGTGGTTCCTGAGTTAATGTGTGATTTGTAGATTAATATGTTCAGTTTTCCATCAAAATTAGCTTTACACTCTATAGTTGTGCTTTTTTTTTATTCTTAGAAAGCTGAGTGTAAACACCTGTATATGAAAGACCATGATGTCATTTCTTACAGTTTCCCTAATTCTTTTTTTTTGTGCAAAGTGCTGGGTGTGAAGAAGGCTCTCTGTTCTGTGGACTTACTGGCTTTTATAGTAACAGTGTAACTTGTAAAAATTAAAACACTTATTTTGTTTTGAATTTTATTTACTTCAGGAGGTTTTGGGCATCTTGCCATTTTTAATTCTTGTCTGCAAACCGGCAGTATTGATGATGGAGAACTGCTACATGGTATATTGAAAATTATAATATCCTGGAAGAAAGAACATGAAGATATTTTTCTTTTCAGTTGGTAGGTGACACTTTATCTGTATTTTTCCCTCCACCTATCTAATGTGAACCCATATTATGTTTATTTCTCATCCTCTTCTTTCAGTCTGACTCACACATTGGTCAGTGGCCCCCAGACCTTTTCTTCCCTTTTGTGCAGAGGACTTTTTGTTTTTTTGTTTTTTTTTGTATTTTAGGGAAGGGTCTACAGGGTGTTGAGGGTCTCCCTACTAGATCGGACTCATAGTGATCCGCCTGTTTGCAGCCTCCCAAGAGCTGGGATTACAGGTGTGCGCCACCACACCCAGCCTCCCATATTATGTTAATTATAGTCAAGATTTTGTTTGATGGTAGGTATTTAAGTTATATGACTTAAAATTAAATATTTTCTGACTACTGTTTTTGCATTTTTGTTACTTTGTTTTTGTCTTCGTCACAGTAATCTATCAGAAGCAAGTCCGGAGGTACTGGGTGTAAATATAGAAATAATCCGGTTCCTTTGCCTATTTCTGAAGCGCTGCTCTTCTCCTCTCGCAGAGAGTGAGTGGGACTTCATCATGTGCTCCATGCTGGCCTGGCTGGAGGTAGGTTCCCCTGGTGGCGCCGCTTCCGTTGGCCAACCCCGAGTACCTGACCGTCATAGTGGTGTACTCATTCTTTGAGTAATGGCTGTAATTAATTCTTTTGGAAACACTTAAAATACTGTGTAGATATCCTTTTCACTAGCTGCTATTTGGCAAGTTGGGAAAATGATGCACTTTAATGACTACGATCGTCATTAGTGACTACATGAACTGCAATTAAAATATTTTTTGCAGCACAGCCTTTGAAAGGTGTTATTTCAGAACAAGGCTTTTGGTCTTTTTTGGGTAGAATCAAATTATTTTTAAGACATACTGTGACAGTGTTAGCAGAGTAATGTAGGAAAGATACAGAAATTAAGGGGGAATTAATGTGCTTTTTACAGCTCGAAGCAGCCAGGGGTGTGGTGCTTACTGGCTGCAGGAGAGCAAGTCAGGATTGAATGGGCTTGAGTTTGTGCTCTGCTTGATCACAGCGATGTGACTTCAGACTCTAAGCTTGACTCTTAAGCCTGAGTTTTCTTCCTTAGCTAGGGCCAGGGGTTTAGCTCAGTGGTGCAGCGCCTGCCTGGCAAGCATGAGGTCCCGAGTTCAGTTCCTGGAAAATACTCCCCACCCACAAAAATAAATAAATAAAATAACTTAGCTGGGTGTGGTGGCACATGCCTATAATTTTGGGAGGCTGGGGCAGGAGGATCACTACAAGTGTTGAGTTCTGCATACTAGGTTCAAGGCCAGCCTAACTATGCAGTGAGACCTTGTCTCAAAAAACCAAACCATTGGGGCCGGGGAGATGGCTCAGTAGGATAAGCGCTAGACTGGCAAACAAGGATCTGAGTTCAATCCCCGGTTCCACCAAAAAAAAAAAAAAAAAAGAAAAAAAACCAAACCATGCCTGGTTTGGTTATGCCTACCTGTTATCCCAGCACTCGGGAGACTGAGGCAGGAAGTTTGTTGCAAGAGACCAGCCTGAGCTACAAAGTGAGCTCAGGACCAGCCTGAGCTGCATAGTGAGACCTTGTCACAAAAAGACAAAACAAAACAATTGGTACAAAACTTGTAGGGCTACTGACATTATCAGAAACATTCTGTTAGTGTATTTCACTGTATAGTAGATGACATTGTTTTCTGAGTAAATGGTAGATGATATTTCCTTCCATAGTAAGTTGAAGATAGTACATGGCATTATTGTCGTCTACAATTATGAAATTGTAAAAAAGGCTATTTCAGAGTGAATTGCTTATTAATGATTATACTTCCTAATACTTGATTTTGAAAGAAAGTTTTGACATGAAATACATAAATTTCTTGTGAGACTTCAACTGCTTTTCATTTGTAAATTCAGAAAAATGAATGCAGGTCTTATGTTTATTGTCTTAATTTGTAGTGCTCTGGTTTACCCTTGTGTTTCTGTTGTTTCTTCAGACAACAAAGGAGAATCAGGCACTGTATTCTGTTCCCCTCGTACAACGGCTTGCCTGTGTCAGCTGTGACTTGGCCTGTGATCTCAGCGCTTTCTTTGATTCAGTCACTCCGGAAACCATTGCTAATCTTCCTGTAAATCTAGTCAGTGAATGGAAAGAGTTTTTTTCCCAAGGCATCCACAGTTTACTTTTACCTCTTTTGGTGACTATTACAGGCAAGTGAAAAAGGACACCATAATGAGATTCACTGAAAATGACTTGTTGAATATTTAAAACAAAATGTAAGCAGTGCTGCATAATAGAAATGCTAAAAGAGAGAGCTTGGCTGCTTGGAAGCAGCGTATATGCTGCTACTTTATTATCATTATTATTATTATTAT